ATTCTCTGCATGTGCCTCACAATACAGATAAAAAATTATGATTTAATTCAAGAAGAACTGAAGGGAGACATGATAGACACCTCTGGGAAGAAAAAGGGCATAGGCAAGATCATCCAATTTAATTACTGAAGAACAACCCCTCCATCTTGTATAGAACAAGGAAGCTGCCTATTCTCTCTCCTCCAAAATAAAAGTTGATTCCTTAGGACTCATCTTGAAATGATCTCTGTGGAGGCCTAGAAGTAACAGGATAGCTTAGATGCCTTAGGCAACTAATTTCTCAAGGGTTCACAGTGAACAATGAGTCTGAAAGAGAGCATTAAGGTTATATAAGATTAAGATTATTAAGATTATATATAGGCCTTAAGAACAAAGATAGAGCTATCTGTTGCCAATAAATGAAAAAGTACTTGGAGGAATTCAGGAAATAAATTAATACACCAACATTTTTAGGTAATGTCAGTGTAATTCATATAGAATTGATAACACGCAGAAAAAATAATATATAATGCAATATGTATAATAAAATAGATATTATGCATATAATATACCCAGCAAATACATAACTGTTTGGCAAATAAAGTGTCTTCCCAGCTATGTAAACTTTTCTGATTGTAGCACAGAATGCTCTCGTATTGACCAATAATTTTATGGTACCCACAAAAAGACTGATTCTGTGCCAGCATAGCATATTCTTTCCTACAGAGAGCCTTTCACTGACTTCATAATCTGATCTGATTTGCAGTCTGATATTTGTGGTATATAAGCTACTATAGCCTGTGAATTGTACATTAGAGGACCTGGAACAATATAGACCAGACAGTTTCTCGGAAGAAAAACATTTTGTTTCACTGACCATGGCATGTATGTGATTTTCTTTTATTCAAACTATGCTTCTTTTGCCAGTGGTTACACTTTCCAAAGCAAGCAGCAGAACAGCTCATGCTAACACACCTTGAAGGAGCGGCAGGTGGCACGCGGATTCCTCTTCCTCGAATGCCCCGTCCACGCGCTGAATCCTCAGAGCCATTCAAATACGACAGTTCTCTCAGCTGCTCCTGACGAATTTCATCATTATAATCCTGAAATGAAACAGGTGAAACTCACTGAAACTTTGTCAATAGGTTGGCTGAGCTGCTAAACCACCCCAAACAGGACTACAGTTTGGCATTTCCCACCTTTCTATGTGGATCTTGTTTGGATGAATCGCTCTATCACCTGTACACTGAGAAATCATATTTTTGTATGCAGAAATGATATGAAATTGAGGTGTTCAAGGACTGGACACCTACCTATAATGTGTGGAAAGACAAAGTTATGTGTATATTAAGGTGGCCATAAAGAAGATAGACATACACACAAACTAAAACACACGAGGCACACACACAAAGCAGACACCAAAAACGTATCTGGAAACAAGATGCAAATGGACTTTCACGTTAAAAAAGGTGCCAACCTCAAACAGCTTGAAAGTGGACCAAAAAATGCATTTTATAAATATTTTATATTTTTTGGCAGACATCCCTGGCTACCTTTATGCACTCCAAACACAGATTCCTCCTGAGACCGCACCTTGGCGTGGAAAATTTAAACTGGCTTCTTTTAACTGGATGATTTAATCATAACATACCAATGATTATACTGTTATGAAGTTAAACTCTACATTAGTATCACTTACTACTGAATGTTATCATCACTGAATGTAGCTTTTAGTTTATTCTATATATCCACTAAACAATTTCTAAAAGCAGTTCTTTCTTTAGGACTCATAAGTAACAGTACCATCCTTGCCATGTAACATTGTTAAATGATATAAAATAGGTCTACTGTATGACTGCATGGTATCAGCTCTACAGAATGGCAAGCTTCTCCTGGCTCAGTAAACAGAAGATCAGAGGAATTTCCTTTTCTTATTGATACAAAATACATAACGTTATACAATTTATACTTATTTTATAATCTGTGTCTCAATCGGAATTCCCTTTTTCTTTAGTTTTCTTCTTTTGTATTCAGCTCTTTGCCTCCTGATCATGGTAATAAGAGCCCACTGCAGTAGCTGGCTCTCTGACAGTAGAACTGTGCAACAGCTAATTAGTGTTTCAAAACAGAAAGGATTATTGAATTTCAGCCCTTCAGTTTTTCCATCCTTCAACAGGCAACTGCGATTGACTGGCATTCAAGAATCTGAAAACGCTAGAGTGTCTGCTGCTTCTCAGATGGATGAATGGCCGGCATGCATTACAAGTGACACTCCTTTTCAGGCAAATTACAGACCAGGCAAATGGAAGGATGTAACAAGGGCCTCGCTCATTCCTTATCCTTCTCAACTTTCTGAAGTCAGATATATTATACACTTCCTCTATCAGCAAAGTGGACTTCAGAAATTTGTAGATGATGCTACAGGTAGGTGGCTGACATGTTGACCAGCAGAGGTGCAACCTCTGGGGACGCTGAGCAGCTGGAGGACTGGGCCAAGAGCAGCCTCTTGCAGATCACCAAGGAGAAGTGTAGAGTGTTGCACCAGACCTGGAATAACCGACTCTATGCCCTTGTACGGGCTGGGAAGTCGCAGACAGGGTAGGAGCGCTGCTGAAATGACCCAGTGGATGCCTGGTTGAATATGAGCGAACAAGGTGCTCTCATTTGGGAACAAGATAAATTTCATATTGGGCTACATTAGGAGGAGTGCAGCCCACAGACTGAGGGAAGTTATTATCCTCTTTACTCAGTGCTGGTTAGGTCTCACCTAGCATTTTTTCTCCAATTTTGGCCCCCAGATTCAAGAGGCATGTGGAGGGTCCAGCTGAAGAGGGTCCAGCAGAGGACTACCAAGACGGCTGGGGCCCACAGCATATGAGTTGCGGGGAGAGGCTGATGGAGGTAGGCTTGTTTAGTCTGTTGAAGATGAGATGAAGAAGTGATCTGGTCGCTACCTACAATTACTTGATGGGAAGCTACAAAGGTGACGCCTTGGTAGTGGCAGCCTGAACGACATGGGATGGTAACCACAGCATGTGACTTAGGAGAACCAGGCTGCACATGAGGACGAAGTCCTTCGCTAGGATGACAGCGTAACTCTGGAACAGGTTACAAACAGAGGTGGCGGAGATGCCATCCTTGGAAGTTTTCAAGACTCGACTAGACTCTGACCTAGTGTTGGCAGAAGTGCTAAGACTGCGAGATTGAACTAGACGATGTCCAGAGGGCCTTGCAGCTGACATTTCAGTGATTTTGTGAAGTTCCCATCCACCTTCCTTTGTGCCCAGGGTCCCCCTTGGAAGGGAGGGCCATTCGGTAAACCTAATTTGTGAAACAAATCAAACTAAGCCTAGAACTCGTGTTGAACAGTTGACAATACTACAAATGATAATTGTAGCACAGCCATAATTAAAAATAAATCCGCAACTCACTAATAAACCAGATAACAGCTTTCAGTTCACACCGATCCCCAAATCTTTTTGCATATTTTTCTGTTGTTCTGACATTAATGATACTATGCCAAAGATACCCTCCTAAATCAATGAGCTCTGTAAAACACACAGTAAAAACAGATAGAATCAATCAGGTCATATTTACAGCAATACCCGAATATGTGTCGTTTATTGTGCCTTGATTAATATTATCTGTTATTCACGCCTGGCTTTGAAAGGATTATGACTCTAAACTTGCCAGCTGAGCTTACCCTTATACACCAATGCTAGGAGTGAGCTTCATAAATAATGCAAGTAAGTTTTGTAAAAGAAAGATATATATTAAAAAAAAACTGCACGGTACAGAAGTTGGAACTTTCTGTGTTCTGCTTTAATGTCCTGCCTTTGGAACATTCCCGAATAAATGAACTTCAATAAATTGCCTCATAGCTGCTATTCCTTATTCAGATCTGCATATCATTTAAAATATTAATATTGACCAATAATATAATATTTATAACATTTACAAAATACAGCAAGATCTGTAAATCTGCACTAGTTTGTTATGCAATGCCCTTTGCTTTTCTGCAGGTCACTCACTGCATGCCCAGTTGAGAAATATGTACATTGTATTTTGAAACGGTAAGGAAAAAACAACAAAGTACATGAAGGACTGTAATTAAGATGCTGGGAATGGTATCCTGAAAGAGAAAGATCTCAGTAAAAATTGTAACTCTATATAGCTCATTTTCCTTATATGTCTTTTAAAAATCATAATGAAAATTATAATATTCTAAACCTGAAATCTGTAATTTTTAACAGGAATACTTACTTCAACTCTTTCATTAAACAGAAACATAACACTGAATTAATCTTTCATAACTACTACATCAGTCTAGCTAGAGACAGAGAACACTGCTGAATATTTAATTGTAGCTGAGTTCAGAGCCGAGCACTTGAGCAAAATTATGCTGCTGATGTTTCAAATATATCTAGTCCCCAGAGAGAGCACAAGATGTTGCAAGACATACCTGTAATGAACAAAGTATAATGAAGCAGTTGCACACTGCAGTAATAGTGTTTCAGAAAAAAGCGCTCACTTCTCATATTAAAATAAACTCACGAGTAATCTGTTTTGTTCTGTACTTACTAGTTTTTCCTCTAATTTAGAAGCCTCATAGCTGATAATCTACATTAACCTGTACATTCTGCTCTTAAATCCACATTGTTTGTTTCCTTAAATGCATTACTAGCTACAAACAGCTTTTGCAGGTAATGATGATACTAAGGGTGCTGTCTACTCATACCGTGATGGACAATGTTTGCAAACAGCCACTGTGGGGGAGCTAACCACCCACACCCACAACTATTCCCCTAAACATCTATCTTGACTATAGAAATGCCAAGGATTTACAATCTTAGCAAAGTCAGTGGCACCCAGGGCCATCATAATTCAGGATGTTTATGTAAGTGCCTGAAAATAAATTACATTTTCAGATAAAATATTCAGTATTCTAGTGTACATGAACACATTTATCCCAAACTACCACAACAATGTTTATTAATGAGGGTTGGGAATGGTTAATTGGGTCAGTTGCCTTGACTATTTTAGGAACAAAGGAAACCTTCTGTTAGTATCAAAATCAGACTAGTGGCAGCTCACCCAGGGCAGTAATGACAGAAAAGTACAGCAAAGATGAGAATGCACATAAGCTAGAAAACTCAAGTAGCCATTTTTGTAAAAGATGGCTAAGTATGATGCAAGCTGCAAAACCTGATCTGAATTAACAAGAACACACAGTGAGATGGGAGGAGTGTTAATAAAGAAATCAAAGGGCAAGACATAGACAGAGGCAATGGATTTCAGGAATATCTATCTATTATTAGCATAACAAAGGCTCAGAGAAGTCAAGGATAAATGCATCCCTTAAGGGTTGTGATCTCCTGGCCAAATGTGTTTTGTACGCGTAAGTTCTTTCCATGTGCATGAAAGATGTGCACTATTAATAAAAATTATTACTTTTATCAGTGACAGCTGAATTTCATTCTATCTCCATCCTTTAGAGGAAGAGTAACTAGGGTGAACAAAAGCTAACTCAAGAATGCAGATTTACTCAAATCAAACTTAAAATCATAATCATGATATAGCATAAATAGCGCTTGGTCCCTCATACAGACCACACTTCATAGCCTACTCACACTCCTCATACAATTAAGCTAGCTGTGAGGAGCAGACTATCCTCCATGCAGCATATCCTTCATGTTGCTACAGTGAGGACAATATACAGGTATCTTAATACTATGACCAAACAACTATCTGCTAAAGGACAATATACAAGTATCTTAATACTATGACCAAACAACTATCTGCTAGCATTTTCTGTTTAAGCGACCAAACTCTCCTTGATTTTAGCTGCGCAAAAAAGCGGTCGCAAAAATGCATGCTTTTGTCATGGTTACTTCGTGCATAATTCTTAAAGTGCTTCCCCACGTAAAGGGTCTTCAAAGAATACGTAAGACAGATCCTACAGTCAGGAGTCAACTGTGATGGTGAAAAGCTGTCATGTCCTCACAACAAATGTGCACAGCCAAGAACAGAAATCTGGTCCTACATTCCTGAAAATCTCTGTCATCTGCACTGTCTGAACTCTTTCTGAGGCAAATATATTCTT